AATGTCATGTTTCATAGTAACTTAATTCTTACAACTTACTTATCCATTAATTGCAGAAGTACGGTTCTTAATACTGCCAAGCAGTAGATGTTTTCATATGTACCATTTTCTTATTCATTAATTGCAGAGATGCAGCTCTTATTACTGCCAAGCAGCAGATGAAGACCATTGAAATGAACCTTGACTCTATGAATGCTCGGCATCAAAAAGATAAAGAAGCATGGGAACTAGATCTTAAAAACTTGGAAGAAACATGGCGAAGTAAATGTCAACAATTTTTTCTCTTCAGTTTCTTTCACTTCCATCACCTTTAGATTTTAGAAAATTCAAACTGTTCTTGCTTTGAAATGGCTCAAACGGTGTAACAGATAGATGCGAGGCACTAAAGGCTGAAAATCAGGCAGATTCGGGGAAAGATATAAAGCAAGAATTAGATGAGCTTAAATCTCGTTACAAAAGATTGAAGGTAACTTGGATTTTGCGTTTTCTCTCTCTTTTCAAGAGTTTCTCCTTATTTACTTTGGCATGTTATTTGGTAGGAGGAGCATGATTCATTTAGAGATCTAGCTGATAGAATGATTGGGGAGAAGGACAATGAAATCTCCAGATTGCTTGATGATAATAAGAATCTTCAACAATCTCTGGAATCAAGACCACGGGTACGTCTTTTATTGTGCTTTAGATAGGTGAATGCCATGAAATCTTTCCCTATTTCCTTTTTCCTCAGAAGAGAACAAAGAAAGAAAGAATGATATGTTTCCCTACTGCCATTACTCTCACAATTATTTTGCTGACGATGTAGTAAAAAATATTTCAGGCTGAGCAGAACGATTATTACACTGCAGGTATGTATACTTGTTCCTAGAGTAATCTGACAAAATAACTGTTACGCATCCAAGATATTGGAAACTTGATGCTTTTGTGAGCAGCTGGTAATGTTCTTAACTTGGTTGAGGCTGACAAATTTGTTCTCTCAGCCTCACAGAAACAGGAAATACCAAACTCAGCTAGCTCGGCAGCTGACCAGCAAATTCTGGTACTAGCTTTTTTTTCACTTGAAAATTTGTCGGCCGTGAGTTGTTATGGTTCTTTATTCAGTAAAAGTGCCATAATTGAGGAGCTTTTATTGCTATTGGAAGTTTTCATATAGAAGGTTATGGAATTATTTGGTTATAGTTATCATGTCAATAGTAAATATAAATGCTCAAAACACTGTAATTTGAGGAAGGGTGCCATTTAGGGGCAGTGCAGATCATTCAGATGACTTAACTTTAACCTATTTGAATATTCAGCTTTTGGCAAGGCAACAAGCTCAACGAGAGGAAGAGTTGGCTCAGTCTCAGAGGCATATTTTGGCACTTCAAGTATGACCTTACCTGTATTTGCATTTATATTCTCTTGTTATGCTGTTGAAACTTCTTTAAAATATTTTTAATGCTCAGGAAGAGATTGAGGAGCTTGAGCGTGAAAATCGTCTTCACAGTCAACAGGTGATCTCCAAGGGTGCATTTGAGTTGTTAATATGTGTGGGAAGCTGGAAAGCACAATATACTTTTATGATGTAGTAGCGAGACAACTAGATCGTTTGGTTCATCTTCTGCAGTTATCCCAATTAGTCAGGGAGACATTCACATCCATAGGAATCAAGAACTTCATGATAAAGCAATTATTGCAAAATAGAACTTGTTCGATTCTGATCTATAATTGGTAATTAAATGGATTAGGACATGTTTGCGCAAGTAGGAATTATTTATGGTAGTTGGATTCTGGAAGTACTACAAAAGAAGGTAAGAAACAAAAGGAAAGTGGAAGTTCACTGAGGAAAATGAAGGTCACTAATACTGTGAAGTCTTCGTGTAACATTTTGTTGATTACAGGGACGAGGTGTCCTTTTCTTGCATATACATCCTTGAGCTCTATTTTTTCCCCTTATTTATGATGAATCAGTACTTAATTATCATTAACTTTTTTTAATGCTTTTGCCATTCCTTTTCTCTTTTCCATCTAAATTTGTGAGGAGATGATATCGGATATAAATGCAGCTCCAGAATGTTTGAGATTCCTTTTCCCTTCGTCATAGATATAATCTCAATTGTATGGATGTAGGAGGCCATGCTGAAGGAAGAGCTTCGCAACATGGAAAGGATGCAGAAGAGGGAAGGGGTAGATATGACATATTTAAAAAATGTCATCCTGAAGCTTCTTGAAACAGGTATATTTTGGCAACAGACATACTGTGGCGTAACATCAAATTGTAAGTAATGTTGATTTCTTGTCTTTCTTTTGTTAAACTCGTGTAATGGGGTGCTTTGGTTCGTCTTTCCTTCTTAGGTGAGGTTGAGGCCCTGTTACCAGTGGTCGCTATGCTGCTTCAGTTCAGTCCGGAAGAGGTTAAAAACTCAGCTTTAGTTTCGAGTGTTGTATAAATTATATTCAGTAGTTGAAGTGAATATTCATTGTCATTGTCCGTTACCAACCTCTGATTGTAATGCAAAGCTTTTGTTGATGCAAGCCCAATTATAAGTCTAAGATGCTATCCAAGAAAGATCGTTAGTGTTCATGCTGGAAATTATTCCAAAACCATAAGTAAAATCGTTGTAAATTAGTCTGAACTTCAATTAATGCTAGTGTATTACAGATAGAGGTGAGGGTTTTCTCCATCCCCTGAGTTGTCGGTCAGTCATGGTCCTATACATCGAAGTCCATGTCAAAGGAGAAATATTTGTTGTCATCTCGGGTCTGAGGTGTGTCATTGATTTCATATCTTTAAAAGTAGGCATGGACTTCAAGTTTTAGCTTGAAGTGTTGGATAAATTATATTCAGTAGTTGTAGTGAATATTTATTGTCATTGTCCCTTACCAACCTCTGATTGTGATGCAAAGCTTTTGCTGATGCAAGCCCAATTCTAAGTCTAAAATGCTATCCAAGAAAGATTGTTAGTGTTCATGCCAGAAAGTTTTTCAAAACCATAAGTAAAATTGTCGTAAATTAGTCTGGACTTTAATTAATTCTAGTGCATTACAGATAGAGTTGAGAGTTTTCTCCATCCCATGAGTTGTAGGTCAGTCATGGTCTTATGCATCAAACTCCATGTCAAAGGAGAGAATATTTATTGTCATCTCGGGTCTGAGGTGCGTCAGTGGTTTCATATGTTTAAAAGTAGTCATGGACCTCTTTTTATGACACAAGAAACTTGCTGCATTTCTTTTTCTTTTCCTCACTGAGGAAGCTGATTATGGCGAAACGACCAATATGTATCCACTGTCTGAAGTTTGGTGTCATACTATTCCTTTTCTGGGCACATCAAGTTCAAGTTAAATATGCATTTTAATGCAATTGCAGATGCAGAAATGTCAACAAGCTTACCGGGCTGCTACGGACGTGCCTCCAACTCCACCAAGTGATACTTCAGGATCCCCTCTGTCGCTTCTCTCAAGATTCTCATTTTCATAGTGGCAGAGTAATACAAGACCGGGAATTCTTTTGTTAAATTACCAGAGTCTGCGACACGTTCCAGCTGCAAAGAGGCGAATGTGTGTGTCGGTGCTTAGAAGGTGGTATGCAGTTCCGTAAAACTTGTTTCTTTTAACATCAACTTTGTTAGGCAAACTGCGGAGATATTGTAAAGAACGTACAGAGGAGAGAATGTACACTAGACCAAGAGGTAGAGGATACACACACATTGGCAACTCCGGCTGTTATTGCTGTGATTATTGTGAAGGAAAAAGGAAGCAGCTGTTTACTTGTTATTTTCTTCATTCCAACATACATGAATAAATATTTCAACGGCATGAATCTCTCTCTCTCTCTCTTGCGCGCGCGCGCACACAAAAAGCACTGGAAAACTTAATTCTTGTGTACGGACTGTAATTAAATTCTAAATCTTCAAATTGATGCAAGCAAGACCTCTATCCACAATAGTCAAAAATTGGGAGTTCAGGTTGCCACATGAAAGATATCAAAGAATTTAAATGAAATTGGATTGCATTCTTCAAGAAAAAGAAATTTAAAGATTTGATCGCACCAACTGAAAGATTGAAGACTTGATTACTTTCCTTACAATAAGTCTAGGGTTCTCAATGCAGTTTTTTTTTCAAATTATTAAATCAAAAAACATTGCTTCGGCTAATTTCTCTTGTAGCTAAGACCTAGGTGAAGTACATCGGCATTTGTACCCATCTCAATATTTCTATTTATTTCTATCTAACTTAAGGTAATGCGATTTATCAAATGATATATCAATTTTTGGTGTTATGATTTGAATAGTTAGATCTTGTTGTAATCGATTCGAATTGCTTGGAACATGAAAGTCTTGTGTAACGGTCATAACATGTAACACGTGTGAAATGATTATATAAGAAAGAGATCCTTTTATGGTAAATATTATTTCGAATCAGTATCTATCGAAGACTTGATTACTTTCCTTACATTAAATCTAGGGTTGTCAATGCAGTTCTTTTTCCAAATTATTAAATCAAAAAACATGGCTTCGGCTGATTTCTCTTGCAGCTAAGAGCTAGGCGAAGTACATCGGCATTTGTACCCATCTCAATATTTCTATTTATTTCTATCTAACTTAAGGTAATGCGATTTATCAACTGATATATCAATCTTTGGTGTTATGCTCTAAATAGTTAGATCTTGTTGTCATCGGTTCGAATTGCTTGGAATATGAAAGTCTTTTGTGTAACGGTTATAATATGTAACATATGTGTGAAATGAGTTTATATAAGAAAGAGATCCTTTTATGGGAAATATTATTTCGAATCAGTATCTATCGATTTATTGTTACAACAAAAGACGAGAATTACAATTGGGAAAGGAAAAGCATTAGCCTAGTCTTCAATGATGAAACAATTGGCTGTAAGAGACTAACAACCGAGGTAGGCTTAAAATCTAGAATTTTCTCTTTTTTACCGATTCCCAAGCGCAAAATTTATTTTTCACCCAATTTTTCCCAGTGAAAAAAAAGGTTAGTATGTAGAAGCAGAAGAAGCTGTACACCGGGCTCCTGCTATGGATTCTTCAGCTCTCCTAATAGAAAGTTAGCAGGTTCACATTTTGATGTGTAACCAAATTTTGATGAACAGTACTTTCTATGTACTCCTGTAAGCTTCCCTGTTGCTGCTTTTTGATGGAAACCCACCATCATCCGTGCACATTCTCTGCATTAAAGGGGGAAAAATTGCCATTAGGATGGTCCAATATCGATCGCTTCAAGAACTTGGTGAAGTCCAAAGGAAAATCACTGAGAAAAGAAGTGAAGTCACCACTTACAGGAGCTGGCCTTCTGTGTAGTTGCTGTGCCATTCACAGGTTTTAGTCCACTGTTTGAAACCATAGAGGGTGCACTGAGCTGTGAAGATCGCAGCGGCAGCTAGAAGAGACGGCGGGAACTTGAGCATCTCGTACTCCACCAGCGAGAGCTCAATCAAGAAGAAGGATAGCACCTCAAGCTGTTCATTTAAAATAGTTCATTCAGAAGAAGGCTCATCGAATTCTACATGCTTATTAGGTACATAAAACATCATTGACCTAGTCCAGAAGACTTAAATTTAATGGAGGCTTTGACAACAGTTTATATAGGAGACTGGCTTAAGAGGACCTTTTCTCGCGAATTTTCAATTTTTCTCCCAACGTGTGAATCTATTGCACTTTAACCGTTCTCGATGTCGTGACTGATGGCGACTTGCCTAACCTTTTTATCAGACTCAGCAGCCTTGAGGAACCGTCGCATGAAAACATATGGTGTAGGCAGTGACATGTTGAACTGCAACGAGTTGAGCATCAAACTTTCCTGGAAAAAAGTCGGCCAGAAAATAATAAAATCCCGTTAATTTTCAAGGATCGTTAAATTTCCTTAAATAGAAAAGAAAAAGAATTTCAGTTGCAGCCAGATATTGTATGTTTGCAAGATTTTAAAGGTCGCACCATTTCGAGAACTTCCTTTCTGGTGTAAGCCTTGTCCGATATGAGAATCAAGTCTCCAACAACAGGAACAGAGACTTCTTCATACTTGCATGCTAATAACATAGCCACCAACCCCACCAACTGGAGCTTCTTTCTCACCACAGATTGCTGCGCCAAGAATCTGTCTATGATATTGACTGTGAGGAACAAAGTTTCGTGCATGAGATCGAATTTGTCATGCACCTGTTCCAGATTGATCAAATGAGGAACTTGTTAGGAAACATCGTCATTTGAATCGAAACGAATATAACATAATCGGCAATTCGACTATGGGAAATTTGTTGAGTTATACCTCTATAAGCCAGTCAATGAGAATGGCCCTCATCTTCTCATTAATGTCAGCTTGTTGTGCCATGTAGTTTGCAGAGACACAGCTACAATTCTGCATAGAGCGAGTTATTATGGTTAAAAGTGATCTTTACATTCCATAATGGTACCTTATACTCCCTATGTTATATTCCAGTTTCAGTGATGAATTAATTTCTTCAGCCCAGCACGTAGCCTCTCAGTTTTGCCAATTTACTTAATATACTTTGCAATCTCAGGCTTTATATAATACCCTTTTTGAGAAAACAGTAATTGATTAACTCCAAAGATGAGATAATTAGAACAAGAATACAGGGAGTGACTTAAATTCTGAATCAAAAAGAATTTTTAGATTTCGGGAATTACTAAGCGTGGGAAATTAAATGCTTGAAGAACATGATGGTTTTTCCATGAGAATACTATGAACCTATCTCGAGTTTCCTGGGATGCATCCTTGTATGGAAAACTGACAACCAATCAAAATAGCTATTCTACAATAAATGGGGACAAAAGGAGTAAAACATTTAAATGTTTGGCCATGCATGCATTAAAATCTGAGAAAATGGGACCAAGTACAGCTAATTTCTCTTTTTGTTCCATTTCATGACGAATATTGAGAGAGAGAGAGAGCGAGAGAGAGAGAGAGAGAGAGAGAGAGAGAGAGAGAGAGAGAGAGATGAATTAATCACCTCCGTTCTCCTATAGTAGGCATAAATGTCTTCAATGTAGTCAACCACTGCAAGTGGGTTCTTCTGATCTCTACCATCAATGTCCATAATTGGCTCTTCTTCTTCTTCTTCCACTATATCTTCCATTTCCACTTCCTCCTAATGATTAATTAATTAGATCGAAATTTAATTATGGCTCTCATGTGCCAAACTAGTTGAAAAATTCATGATTAAATTAAGGAAAAATGCTGTAGCTGTAATTTGAGAGGGGGAAGAAACACACCATGTGATCATCCAATCTTGATTCTGGGATTTCCAAAAACATAGGGACTGGTTGATTTTCTGAAGATGATTGGCATTCCTCCACGTCCACAAATATGCAATCTCCAAATTCATTTCGCTCTTGAACCGCCGTTCTTGGCTTCTTCGCTTCCTATTAATCAAGCAGTGTCTGATCAGTGAACTACACTTAAATCCGTGCCATCGATCTGTCAACATAAAATAATAATTCGAAATAAGGTAATAAGATAGAGAAAGAGTGCAAACCTCGGGGCAATGTTGCTGCGCGCTCGCCGCTTGCGCTGCGAACTTCCTATATAACGACATGTTTTAATCCATCAAAATGCAAATGCTATGACTATAATCTTTTGGGCCAATGCATGTGTTCAAATTCAGCTGGTTAGTTTCTCCCTAAGAGATCCACTTTGCATATGAGCATCCTCACACACACTTTGACTTTGACAGTCTCTGCTGGAGATCTAAATTTGAAAATTTGAAATTTCAACATCACCCTTTTTTCTTCTTTTTTCGTTCCTTTTTCCGTTTCTAGACATCAACCAGACGAAAAAAGAAGAGTTGCGAAGACAAGAAAAAAGGGTCAAGCTCAAAGTCTCATAAAGAAAAAAAAAAGTCTAACCTTGTGACTGGTCTGTGAACTGGATCCACCTGATCCTTCCCGCACAGTGCATCTCTTCTGCATTTCAAAGCCCAAAAAAGACCAGCTTTAACGCATTGTCACAATCTAAACTACAAGATAATTCATACTCGTCATCTTCTCTTTGGGTACTGTTTGAATGAATTGTAACAATTACTTGGAGTGGCCTCTCTTGTTGACGACATGACATGGGTACGCATGATCTCCAACTAAGTTCTGGTTAATCACGCTTAACGCCCTCCTGGTTTGCCTAATCTCCTGCCCGAATTTCCTGCCTCCAATCTCCAACCCTCCTCCTAAATTGATCGACATCCATTAGACGAACGATATCAGATCCGGGCCCAGATTGAATCCGAAAAATCGAAACTGCACGAGAATAAAAAGAACCCAGACAAGAACTCTCTTTCTCTACCTTGAAGATTTGTGGGTTTGCTCGGAGCAGCATTGTTCTCATCAGATAAACCCATTTTCCTTTTTGCGAACACTTATCTGGAACAAGAACAATCAACTCCTCAAGACACACACACACACTCTCCCACTCTCTCTCTCTCTCTCTCTCTCTCTCTCTCTCCCAAACACCCACCACCCAGAGAGACCTAGAGAGAGTGCGTCGACGGCTCCTTTGATCTCACGGGCAAGAGAGAGAGAGAGAGAGAGAGAAAATAAAGGGTTCGAGATGTCTGAAGGAGGAGGAGGAGGACGAGGTTCTTCTTTTTTTTTTTTTTTTTTTTTTTCGAACGCAACGGCTAGTGAAGCGAGACCGTTGGATCGTGCCGATTCGCCGACGAGTTTCTTTTCGGGGTTTTTTCCTCCTTCGGTCCAAACAACGGTCACTTGCGCTGTCATGCGGCGTGCCGCACCTGATTTCAAATTTCGCATTTCCTCATTTTTTTTAATTACTTTTTATGAAAAAAAAATCAAACTGTTTTTTTTATGGGCCTCTTCATGGTCGGATGTGACGGTTTGCTCCTTACGGCACGTCGGACCGGACCGCGCTTCCGCTTCCCCTACCGCCCTACGCGCCGCTCCACTCCCACGTGTCGACGTGGACGAATAGGGTGCCGCCGCGTGGATGATTCCGAGTTGAATGTGGGGCCCGTTCCTTGAACTTTTTCTGGCCTTTTCTGAGTTGGCATTTTCTGATTGCGCTGCGCTGTGGAGTTGGACCAGGTTTGTCTGTCAGGTTGCTTTGTTCAGAAATTTCCAAGACAAGAACAGATTTTTTTTTCCAATCATGGCTTGTCCTCCCTATTGCAATTGTTATTTAGGAAATATCTGATTTTCTCATTTATTGAACTTCCCTAGGGGAACCTCCCAAAAATTGCACACTTTTGGAGGATAAGATCTAAATTGACAGCATTTGAACTCGCAAATCCGTTGCATGGCCAACCAACATGAATCTCTAAATTCGAATTTGAGTTGTGCAATAAGACATGATTGATATGCACGATAAAGCTCATCTCGTTATGGCAAATCCGATCGATCGTCATCTGTTTTGTAAAGAAATTAAATAGTTCTTTCACGAAGATAGAGTCTAAGGATGAAATAGAAGGAAAGTGAAAATTGTGTTAATTGGTGCATCCAAAAGTGGCATGGTCTCATAGTTATGGTCCTAATCGGTAAAACCATAATATGTAGATATGCAGACTTGATATATAACCCAAATTATAGTGAGGGTAGATGTCTTTCTATATAAAGAGCTTTAATATCTTTATTACTTTCATATACTTTATGGCTATATTTGGTGGACCGGATAAAATCTAGATATAATAACCTTATCTTATATGGTGTTTCTCAAACTATCTTAGGTGTTTTTTGTCGACGTCGGATAATTGCTACAGAGGCGACCCCCATGGGGGCGGTCGCAAATGGTGCCACCACGGCATCAATGGTCAATCACTGTGATAAATGTTAGAGTCATTTCTTTTCTTTTTTCTTTTTTCTTTTTTCAGTTTTTAAATTGAATTTTTCGAAAAAATTTAAAACATGTAATGGGATTTTCTGTCATCTGGGGCATTTTTATCTTATTTAATCTTATCACATCTTGATCAGTGGCCTAACAGCCAAACCCATAATGTTGCGGACGTGGATGTCGGAATGTAATCCTCGCAAGTCGAAATGGGAGCATGAGGCCTTTATGACGATGCTGTTTGGCATGCACATCTTAAGTTCCATGGCATTAAATTGTTGCATTAAACACGAAACAAAAATCCCAAATTTCTTTGTTGGGGAAAAAAATTTAGATGAGACGATGATATATATCCTTAATAGGGAGCAGCATGATACGCAGGCACAGGTAGGGGACGGTTCTGATGCGCGCCTGCTATATTTAAAGCTTTAGTATAAACGTGTCTCTGACGGAAAGTAGACCGTTTAATCCTGTCTGGATTTGAAAAAGAAGAACCTATAATAATTATAATAATAACAACGAGAGGTGGTAATACCACCGTGGTATATCTAAGTTCGAATTAGGTTAAGTCTCCGACTTGGTCTTCGAATCACACGTTTCAGCCCGTTCCCAACTTGTCCCGCTCTCAAATTGGCCCTTCTAGCTGACTAAAGGCATGTTTGGTTCGGTTTCGAGGGAATACCTTTGGTAAAATGCAAAAACCTTTGAATTAAAATTGTTTTTCGAAATGTAAGTAGTATTTGGTAATGTATATTTTAAAATCACGTTTGAAAGCAACTTTGGTCTAAATACCGTTTGGTAAAAACTAATTTTGTAAATGACTTTTGCTAATATTTAAAAAAAAAAAATCAACAAAGAACTCAACCACCGCCGGCAGACCAAAACGGTCGCTCGGCCAACCTCTCGCTAGCCGTATCTAGCGACCAGCCAACCTCGCTTGAGGTCGCCCGACCTCAGGCGAGGCAACACTACCGCCTAAGGGTCGCACGACCCAAGCCGACACTTGCCTGGGTCGCGCGACCTCAGGTGAGGCGACCTAAGTTGCCTGACCTAGGCGTCCCTTGGATCACGCGGGTCCGGCCACCGCTACTTGCGGGTCAGCAAACCTCCGGCGATCGCCGCCTGGGGGTCGCCAGGGTCAGGCGACCCCCAGGGGGCGATCGCCGGAGATCGGCCGACCCGCAGGCGACGGTGGCAAGACCTCTTAGGCAGCTGTCGCCGGCCTCCGGTTTGGTTACTCGGGAAGATGAACAGTGTGCATGAACAGTGCACCTTGCATTCCGAAAATGCAACTTGCGAAAGTGCCTCAAGACCTGCCTCAGGCTAAGGGACTTTAGAAGCCTTTGGAAATGCGATTGCATTTCCCCAAAGTGCTCCAAAAAATTGCCAAACGCCATTTACATTTAACCAAGGGACTTTAGAGCCCAAATGAGCATTTCAAATGCTAAACCAAACAGGCCCTAAGTAGTATTCCACTCGTGCAGCAGGAAGTGAAGAATTAAAAACGTGTCTTGTGAATGACCGGATAGTTTTATTCGACTTCACATGATCGGGATAATAGCATATTGTGACGGATCATATAACTGATTTGAGCTATTGAATCTCGCGGATCCCCTATCAAGCCTACATCTCTAAAGGCTCAAATCACTTCGTCTATGATTGACTAAGCCTACGATTTTTCTTTGAATTGCGCATCTCGCGAGTTATAGCAGCTAGGTAAAAAATAAATCTTCGCTTACAATCTTAGCATATTTTAATTGGCATTTTGTCAAATCTTCTCGGCAGAGGTTATGCTAAAGCTCTTATACTTGAAACCTTATCGAAGCGTGGAAAACGAATAAGCAAAATTAGCTTTTATAAAAGTATCCAATCTGCTATTTTTATCTCTCGAACAGCATGTCGGGTTTCTGCTTATTTAAATACTTCAGAAAGTCTTTAACAGCCATATTTGCGTCGTCGAACATGTTTGGTATTTCTTTTATTCTCGGGAGATGCATAGAATAGAAACTTTGCTGGCCAAAAGAATGGAAATGTCAAAATATAGATACAGGCACACATGATCTCCATTGCTTCGAGTCGCTATTCCTTTGACTATTGAGGACTTGTAGTCTCCACTCGATTTTTCAGTTACTAACAATGGATATGGATAGTCACATTGCAAAAGTCATCCACGTTTGCTTGGTATTTTGAATTTCGCCGTCGAGGCCCTATGATATATGTATGCTCTCTCTCGCTTCTTTCGAACATGTTGAACCTCTAGAGTTTGGCTTCCATACCCTTATGACCTACTAACGTTCGAGTTGCTCCACATGTGAATATCATCTATTGAATGACAAAGGTGATCTTAACAATTTATATTCAATTACTAGGTCAAAGTATGCCAAATGAGTATGAACCCTAATGCATAAGCAAGTAACGGGGGCACACTCGAATAATGTGAGTCCATCTCACAACCACCGTTCAATCAAACGGTCTTTATATGGGACCCACCTCATTAAACGGTGTATGTGAATCGAGACTCATGTGTACCATGTGCATTTAAGATTTTTTCCAAATTCACCTTGTAAATGGAGTGGCTGCTACTTTTGATTCTGGCTGTTGTTGTAGCTGTGGCTTGGCCTTGGTGGCTTTCAAATTTAGCTATAGCAGACCTTGGTCTTCGGGGTTGTGATTTTTTACGTCATTATCTCCGCAACTTTCACTAGAAGACCATAAACATAATATATCTCAACACATAAAGAAAAAAAAATGAAGCCAAAGATCTTATGATGAACCCAATGGCACCCACAACATTTAGAAATGCTTTGAATCCTATATGATTACAAACCGGTCGGGGCACAGTTCAGATATCTAAATATCGGTTGATTATACTTTATATCTTATAATTATAGAGTAAAACTTAGATACCAAATATTGCTTTGATGTCTATGCAGAACTAACCAGCATATTATATTTTTTCCGGGCAATTATAAAGCAAAAACCTATCAAACTTTCAAAGATTTTGGCGAAATTCGATTGATAAGAAAAATGTCAAGGATTGTCCCTAGGACAGTTGTTAAGAGGTTTAGCAGCATCATGCAGTAGTGTTAATTCTGCTGCTAGGACACAGGTCGCTCGTTGATGGATTTTATAATTAACAATGTGTAAACTTAATTGAAAGGTGAAATTCAAGGGAAAAAACTCCAAACACCCCCTCCATGAAAATGAAAAAAAAAAAAAAACCACAAGCCTCCCCTCTCTCTTCTCTCTTTCACTGTCTCATTGACCTGCCGGCACCCGCCGGCACTCGCCACCTTGGCCTTGGATGTCGCCACCCCGGCCGCTGAATGACCGCCAGCCACTGCCATGGAAGCTATTGTCCCTTGTGTCACTCGCTTTTACAAAGCATCCAAGGCATGACCATGCCAACCTCCATCGTCGACTGCGGTTTGAGGTCAACGGGGGTGGTCGAATCTCTAGTCTACTTTAGATCAACCGGATCTGAGGTCGACAAGCCTCGAGTCCTTCGCTTCTGAGGTCAATCGAGAGATGAAAGACAAAGAAGGCCGGGGGAACAAGGGAGCAAAGTATTAGGGAGCCTCGGCTGTGGTGCTTGTGTCACGGTCAAGAAAATGGCCGGGAGGTGGCGGCCGACAAGAATCGGGGGGTGCCGGCACGATCAACGGCGCTAAAGAGATAGGAGAGGGAGATGGATTGAGTTCTTAGTAAGATAAATAGCTTTTTGTGTCATGGTCACGTGTTGGTGACCAAACACATCACGAATGCCTGACAAGTGTCTAATCCTAGCTATAGCAAAACCTCGTCCGTTACCACTAATGACTTTTTCGAAACTAGTCCTTGCTTATTTTTCAAAATTTTTTAATATATGCTAGGGTAAATTTCATTAATTTTAACTAGTATTTGTAGAGCGCTTGTTAACACGACTCTATTGAAAATCTCCTAGAGACTATACCACGCATTGACTCACGCAGTCGATAGAGGATAAAAAGGAAGAGCCATTTTGGGTAATTAAAATCCTGCTAGGGTTAATCATTTACCTTATATGCCAGTTGAGGTTTATGACATTGCCATGTTCCAGTAATGCACATGCAATGCACTTTGCCTATTTTGGCTTCCTTCTGATAAATCGTGAAGAGTCATTATTGTCCTGTGCACACGTGTCAGCCCAGAATCGTTTTGAGTGAACCGTTTTCTCTGTACAAAGTACTCTTTCATGTATTTGCAGAGAGGGATATAGAGAGAGAATTAGGGCAAATAGAGCAAAACTGCAGAGGGATTAACCACCAACATTCGAATCTCTCCGCCCTAAAACTCGCAGTATATACTCCTTCATCTTCCTCTCACTCAGATCACGGCGGACGGGATCTTCATTTTCAACTTTTGAACAATTAATCAGTGTGGTCTTTGCATCGTTTCACTTCTCATACCATGGACAAACAACCCTTCGAAAAAAAGCAGGACGAAGTGACCCGGGACGATGGGGATGTGTCTCCCCCAGCCACACCGCGTGCCGGAACCGGACCGATCGGCGGTTCTTCTGCTGTGCTGCCCGGTGCTGGCGGTGGCGATTCTTCTCCTCCCCCGCCCCCAGCAGGGAGCCCTAAGGGTGGCGGCGAAGGGGGAGAGAGCATGGAGCCGCTGAGCGCACAGGGCAAACAACCAGCCCTCACAGGCGGTTCCTCCACCACCGCTGCGGGATCTCCTCCACCCCCAAGCGAGAGCCTAGAAGGCGTGCAAGCAGAAGGAGAGGGCCTCAAAAAGAAGAGGAAGAAGGTGGCATTCGAAGGTCCAGAATTGCCGAAGCCGTGCAGCATTTGCAGTAGGCCATTCAGCAGCTGGAAGGCACTCTTCGGACACATGCGCAGCCACAAGGACAGACAGTGGCGGGGCGTCTTCCCTCCACCGATATCGCCCCCAAAGGAGCAGGAGCATGACGAGCAGGCGGAGGAACTCACATCGACCTTGTTGAACATAGGGCAGAGGATTCTGGCCGAGACCGAAGAGAATGAAATAGAGGGCGATGGCAGCGCTGTGGCTGAGGGCAGCGCTTCTTCTTCTGAAGCACAGGCTCGGAGGAAGAAGTTCCACATGGAGCTCGATCTGAATAAGGAAGCTCCCGAGGATAGTGATAAAGAGGGTGGGGGCGACAACGATGGCGCTTAAGTGGAGGACGTGAACGTGCATGCATGCATGAAGAGAATGGATTCTACTTTGACTGGTGGTTGTACTGCCATTTTAATTTCTTAGTAGAAGCAATGAATGAATGCGTAGCATGACATGCATAAGACTGTTTCATCTTTCTATTGGGAGGCCGAAGCATGAGGCTGTTTCTTTATTCGCGCGTCCTTGGTATTCCTGGTTTTATCTCTATTAAGAGATTGCGTCATGAGTCAGTTTTCTGAGTTTAAAGAATTGGGGATTGTGTTTTCCTTATTATATGAATTGATTATTGAGTTGGACAAGCATGGAGATGATTGTTCGGATTGAAATGATTGCCGTTATATCTTGGTCGTGAGTTCTGGATATGTGCTTTATGTTTTATACATGGGCGTATGGTTTATCCTTTGACACTTACACTATATAAATCACTGACTATGGATGATTATATGGTGATGATAGTCTTCCACTGTATCTACGATTGGCCTAACTTGTGTGCAGATGTTGGCCACTTTATATGTGCATGCCTCATTGAATTAATTGATGGTAAATTTAATGACTTTGTGGTTTCAATTACTCTTCTTCTTGTTACCGAGATTGATATGACGACGACGATATTGCTTGTGATAATGATTATCATATTTATTTTGATAGTATTTGTATATTCTTTGTGATTAGGTTACATTGTTGTCCCTACTACTAGCAACCTAGTACTCAATGAATCCATATGAACAACGGTGTTACAGGTAGATATTGCCCCGTGATATTTAGATGTATTGGATTTTGTTATGAGCCAGTATTATTCGAGTCAATAGATTTATGTATTGTGGAAATATCATTAGTATTGTGTTATCGTTTTCTAGATCACTTTTTGAGGTGGCAATTCTACTTCTCGCTGTATATAAGATTATTATCACATAGTAATGTGATCCCTATTGTCATTGTCATTGTTATTGTTATTGTTATTGATGTTATCACTAGTTTTCTATTTGATGGTGCATACAAACAATATGTATGATGTGCTCCGTGATATTCTGGAGGTACTAGTTTTTGCTATGATACGCAAGTCAATAGGTTTATATATTATAGAAAAATCTTTGGTACTGGGTTTTCTTGATTACTTACTTTTTGAATGGGAATGATCCTATTTCACTATTTGACATTAATAATTATCTTAGAGGATGTTTTTACTATTTTTTGAGTGGGATTCTACTTCTCGTTGTGTATACGATTGTCATCACATAGTAGTATGATTAGTATGATCATTGTTATTGTTGTTGATGTTATCACTAGTTTTTTTTCTGAACATGTATTATTCGAGTAAATAAGTTTATATATTGCTGCAAAAACTTAGCTACTTGAGTTTTCTTGATTACTTACCTTTTCAATGGGAATGATCTTATTGGGTTTTCACTATTTGACACTAATAAATATCTTAGAGGATTTTTTCACTACATTTGAGTTGGGATCTTACTTCTCACTTTATATATGATTGTCATAACATAGGAGTGTAATCGATATCGTCATTGTTATTATTATTGATGTTATCACTAGTTTTCTACTCGATGAGTATATACAAAAAATGTGTTTAATTGATGTGTCTCCTGAAATTCGGATGTACTAGGTTTTGTTATAAACTTATACTATCGAGTAAATAGGCTTATGTTGTAGAAAAAATATTTAGTACTAGATTTTCTTAATTACTTACTTTTTGAATGGGAATTATCTTGTTGGGTGTTCACTATATGACATCAAAAATTATCTCAAAAGGATGTTTTCTCTCCTTTCTGAGTGGAGATCTCACTTTTCACTGTATATGTGATTGTCATCACACAATAGTGTGATCACTGTAGTCATTGTTATTACTATTGATGTTATCACTAGTTTCTACTCGATGATACATATAAACAATATGTATGTTTCTCGTGATATTTGGATGTACTAGCTTTTGTTATGAACCTATATTATTCGAGTAAATAGGTGTATATATAGCTGAAAAATCTTTAGTAAGGGGTTTTCTTGGTCACTTACTTTTTGAATGGGAATTATCTTGCTAGGCTTACACTATATGACACACAATAGTGTGATCAGTGTAGTCATTGTTATTGTTGTCAATGTTATCACTATTTTTTTACTCGAAGAATACATATAAGCAATGTGTATGATGTGCCCCACGATATTCGCTACTTTCGGAGTGGATTAGTTTTTGTTATGAACCTATATTATTCGAGTAAATAGATTTATATCTTTCAGAAAAATCTTTACTACTGGGTTTTCTTAATTACTAACTTTTTAGGATTTTCACTATATGACATTAATAATTATGTTAGTAGATGTTTTCACTACTTTCTGAGTGGGGATCCTACTTCTCACTATAAATATGATCATTATCACATAATCGTATATGATTAGTATAGTCATTGTTATTTTTGTTGATGTTATCACTAGTTTTTTACTTGAATAATACATATAAACAATGCCTTTGATATGCCCCGTGATACTTGGATGTATTAGTTTTTGTTATGAACCTGTATTATTCGAGTAAATAGGTTTACATTTGTATTGGGTTTTCTTGATTACTTACTTTTTGTATTGGGAATTATTTTACATGGTGTTTTCACTATTTTCAGAGTGAAAATCCTACTTCTCACCGTATATATGATTGTCATCACATAGTAGTATAATGTTTTTTATGTTATCACTAGTTTTCTACTTGAAGAATACATATAAACAATTTGTTCCATGTGCCCCATGATATTCGAATGCACAAGATTTTGTGATGAACCTATATTATTCGAGTAAATAAGTTTATATATCGCAGAAAAATCTTTAGTAGTGAGTTTTCTTAATTATTTACTTTTTGAATGGGAATTGTCTTACTGAGCTTACACTATATGACATTGATAATTATTTAGAGGGATGTTTTCACGACTGTCTGAGTGTGGATTCTACTTCTTGATGTATATATAATTGTCACTACATAGTAGCGTGATCGATATAGTTATTGTTATCATTGTTTAATGCATATAAACAATGTGTATGATGTGCCCTATGATATTCGAATGTACTAGTTTTTGTTACGAACTTTTTAGTATCAAGTTTTTTAATACTTACTTTTTGAATGGGAATTATCCTACTGGATTTTCTCTATATGAGATTAATAATTATCTTAGTGGATGTTTTCAGTATATTTTGAGTGTGAATCCTACTTCTCATTGTATATATGATTGTAGTCACATAATAGTATGATCGATATAGTCATTATTGTTGTTGTTCTTGTTGTTGTTGTTATTGTTGATGATGATGATGTTATCACTAGTCTTCTACTCGATGATGCATATAATCAATGTGTATGATGCCTCATGATATTTGGATACACTAGTCATTTTATGAATCTGTATAATTCGAGTATATAGGTTTATATATTGCAGAAAAATCTTTAGCACCTGGTTTACTTTATTACTTACTTTTTGAATGAGAATAATTTTGATGGGATTACACCATATTACATTGATAATTATTTTAGAAGAATGTTTTTACTACTTTCTAGGTGGGGATCTTACTTTTCAATGTATATATGATTGTCATCACATAATAGTGTGATCAATATAATCATTGTTATTATTGTCGATGTTATTACTAGTATTCTATTCGATAAATACATATAAACAACGTGATATTCGAATGTACTAGTTTTTGTTATGACTTGTATTATTTGAGTAAATAGGTTTATATATTGCTGAAAAATCTTTAATTCTAGGTTTTCTTGATTACTTACTTTTTGAATGGGAATTATCTTATTGGGTTTTCACTCTGTGACATTGATGATTATCTTGAAGGATGCTTTCACTACTTTCTGAGTGTGGATCCCACTTCTTGCTCATAGCATTGTGATCAATCTAGTCATTATTGTTGTTGTTATCACTAGTTTTCTACTCTCGTGATATAATTTGAGATGTACTAGTTTTTGTTATGAACCTAATTATTCGAGTAAATAGGTTTACATGTTGTAGAAAAATCTTTAGTATTGGGTTTTCTTGATTACTTACTTTTTGAATGAGAATTATTCTTCTGGGTTTTCATTGTATAACATTGATAATTATCTTAAAGGATGTTTTCACAACATTGTGAGTGGGGATCCTATTTCTCTCTATATTTATGATTGTCATCACATAGTAGTGTGATCAATGTAGTCATTGTTATTTGTGTTCATGTTATTACTTGTTTTCTACTCAAATAATACATATCAACAATGTGTATGATGAATCTCGTGATATTCGGATGTCCTAGTTTTTGTTATGAAGCCATATTATTCGAGTAAATTGGTTTATATCTTGCAGAAAAAAATTTCGTACTGCATTTTGTTGTTTACTTACGTTTTGAATGGGAATTATCCTACTGGGTTTTTAATATATGACATTGATAATTATCTTAGTTGATGTTTTCACTACTTTCTGAGTGGGGATTTTACTTCTCACTGTAAATATGATTGTGTGATCACTTAATAGTGTGATTAGTATAGTCATTGTTATTTTTACTGATGTTATCACTAGTTTCTACTCGAAGAATACATATAAACAATGTGTATGATGTGCCTTGTGATATTCGGATGTCTAGTTTTTGGTATGAACCTGCAATATTCGAGTAAATAGGTTCATTAATTGCATAAAAATCTTTACTTCTGGGTTTTCTTAACTACTTACATTTTGAGTGGAAATTATCCTACTGGATTTTCACTATATGACATTGACAATTATATTTGAGGGATTTTTTTCGCTACTTTCTAAGTGGGGATCCTATTTCTTGTTGTATATTTGATTGTCATCATATAAAAGTGTGATCAATATGGTCATATTATTGTTTTTGATGTTATCACTAGTTTTCTACTCGAAGAATACATATAGAAAATGTCTTCGATGTGCCCCGTGATATTTGAATGAATTAGACTTTGTGATGAACATATATCATTAGAGTATATCTGTTTATATATTGCAGAAAATCTTTCATATTGGGTTTTTTGGTCACATACCCTATTGGGTTTCACTATATGACATTGACTATTATCTTAAAAGGATGTTTTCACTACTTTTTAAATGGGGATCCTACTTCTCGCTGTATAAGTGTTAGCCATCACATTGTAGTGTGATCAATATAGTCATTGTTATTATTGTTGATGTTATCATTAGTTTTCTATATGATGTGCTCCATGATATTCAGATGTACTAGTTTTTGTTATGAACTTATATTATTCAAATAAAATTCTTTAGTTTTAGGTATCTTGGTTACTTACTTTTTGAATGAGAATTATATTATTGATTTTTCACTATATGATATTGATAATTATCTTAGATAAATGTTTTCAATACTTTCTGAGTGGGGATCCTACTTCTCACTGTATATATGATACTTATCACATAGTAGTGTGATCAGTATAGTCATTGTTATTATTGTTGATGTTATCAGTAGTTTTGTACTCGATGAATACATATAAAGAATGTGTCTGGATGTGGATCTCAAACACAGTTAACTAGACCTGATTTTGTTGTGAACTCCAGTTGTGATTAGAATAGATTTAGACCATGAGAAACGTTATTCGCTATGGACTTCTATGAAAACCACTTTCCTTTGTAATATATTTGTGCAAGCACACTGGATTGAGGGTGGAAGTGGAACGAGGGCAAGAAGAGGAGGACAGTGTGGTGGTGATACAATGATTCTGCTGCTTGAACACAAGAGGGCACTGCATTTCTTTTTGTATGCTTGTTCATATTCTTTAGACAGCACTTGTAAGGATGTATTCATTCATAGTTTTTACATTCTTTATCATATCTCATCATTAGCTGGACTTATGATTGTCTAAACGCCATGCCCAAAAAGCCTTTTTCTGTATGTAAGCATGCCATAGTTATACTCAGTTTATGTTTTGATCGTTTGCTAGCCAATTTTTTCGACTCAAATTTGATGTGCCTGCCTCTGTGGCTGATTGAAATGTTCCTTCCCTTTAAACTTGGAATTTTTTACTCTCTCATCTGGTAGTTCTTTGGAATTTGTGATTCTATTTCTACTTAATTGTGATGGATGACCGGAAGTGAATAGATGCATGAGTCGCCGTCGGGCGAGTCAAGAATACAGGGACGGTGAGGAAGATGTTCTCGCTTTCACCTTTGTAACCAAACCTGATGCTGGAAAACTTCCATGCCCCCGTCAAAAGTGTGTGCTCTCTCCATAAGAGTCGAGCGACAGCACACAGATCATTTGGTAGTGAATGGTATCATGCGAGGGAATGACATTGGGACTTCATATGATTCCTGAATGACATGAGATGAGGACACTGTTGAGATGATTCGTGGTGCTTGTGGAGTGATCCGGGGGTGAAACGGACGATAATTTTGGTGGAGATTCCCAACTAGAACTTGGCTTAGAAGAAGATGTCCTGCAACCACTCATTCAAACTTACATGAAATGAACAAAATCATTGATAGTTTTAGTCTAAAGTAGGAGAAGATAACATGCCTGCCCTAAGAATTGCAAGCTATCCTGGAAGCAAAATTCCGATAAGGAGAGGTGCACAGAATATGGAGCTTCTCGCTGGGAAAACTATGAAGAAGAAACTCCTGTGGACGTCATAATAGGAAGAGGAAGTAGAGGAGGAAGAAGAAAGTTCTCGGCAACCGTGGGGTTGTCTCTTTCTCTCGCCGCCTCAAGTTACGTTAAATCGACTTATATTCCGTCTGGATGACATTTTCTATGGACCCACTAAAATAAGGATCCTTTAAGCCATGACTACAACAATTATTTATGTGAACTAAAACATCCGATTTGATGAGGTGGCACGAGGAGGATCGTACCAAGATCGGTGTTGTGAATACCCTGCAAGTCTTGTTATCGATTAAATTTAGGTCTTTGGCTTGCGTAAGTAGCATGAATCTGGAGTAATTTGTATGCAATTGGTAAGATAAAAGTGGTTGGCCTCCGATTTCTGAAATTGGAAATCCTTCAATACCTAAATCAATTGTGACGATGGTGAGTTATTGCGACACGTTATCCTTGGAATGGTGAGATCGTCTTTTCACAATGCAAAGATAACGACGTCGACGATGCATGACGTGATTTCGTATACAGATCTCTTTTATTGTGCTGTACCCTTAGCTTAGCTAACTCGATCTTGATATTCGGTCTTTTGATTCCTTCGACGCAACAATTCCGCGATTGTTTGCAAAAACCTCCCACGCATCTCTGGTTAATTTAATATTGATCCACTTGCTTTGTTTGAATATACATTTGACTAAGTGAACATGTCATGAAGTTGAAATGTGTGCTTAATTCCCTCTTACTTGAATCCCATTTTCCCTTCTCTTGATTATTTTTGTTCATTATTTTTTACAACGAAATTTTGCTGAACAGTCCTGGCCTCATCAAATTGAAAAAACCACCGCCACAGCCTACAAGCGCCATAGTCACAGACAACTTCAGCTCTCTTAACACTGCAGAAGCAGAACACACTGTTATCTTACCATATTTGTGCAGTACGGAGGATAGGGTTATTCGGCAAATCATGCGGAGATAACCTTTTTGGACGATGAACTGTTGAAGGTAAGAATATAAGAAGGTTCTGATGAAAAAGAATGCAAAGATATAAGCCGGACGAACTCCCGAGCAAGGAATTGCACAATCATAAGGAGCAGAGTAATAGGGAAAATAAAGATTTTCCTACAGACGGAACATGTGAGGTCGTAAAGATGTTTCCTTAGGAACAAAATTATCAGGCCATTGGAGAACGTCGTGACGACGTTTGTTTAGGAAAGAAATAATTAGTCTCTACAATCAATGTACATATGGGACTAATCTGTACTGGCAATGTATAGCAATTGCCATTTACCAATTCTGTAACTACCCTACTTTCATGTGAAACTACAACTCAGTCTTTCCGTTTGGAAGACCCAAGAACAAAACCGTCATCCATGAGATATAAAGGGCCCCTGAAGCCGCAACTATCAGCAAATACATGATACACACGGTTGATTTGTTTTTGCTTATTGACAGGCGCGAGGAGGAAGGTTTTACAACTGTTTCTTCTTCTTCTGCAAATAAGAGTAGCTTCTCTGAAAACTGAGCACTGCCCACACCAAGTGCCATAACCCCATGTCAGGCCAAAGAGCATCAGGTGCGTATAAGGGGCAATAAGCGGTTTGCCAAAGAAGGAAATTGCTCAGCCTAGTCTCGCCCGAACTTCTTATGACTATGTCTGGATCAGGCGCCACGGCCATGTACATATTCTTCTCGATATCTACCAAGTTTATGATTGGATACTTGTTCTAGATCTTATCAAGGCTCCCTTGTGGCGATCGAATTAAACTTATCGAGCAAGATCGCGAATTCTCTTGTTCGTGGCGTTATAGCGTGGATTGGTTGACACAGGTTCGTCAACAGGTCGCGTTCATACCGATATTACCAATCACGGGTTCGAATTGGGGGTTGAGGTCGGCAATTCGTAACTCATAGATCTTCGTAGAACGATCATCTTCCGCACGATTCATATCATCCGGTATCGTGAGCTAGTTCTACAAGGTCTAGTTATCCTACTTTTATTGCTTTTCATTCATCAATCTAGGATTTATAGAAACTAGGGTTTATAGAATTAGGGTTTCGTTATTAATCGAATTAGGGTTCGAATTTGTTCTTCTTGTGATTTCAATTTTGATTTAGGGTTTTCGGTCCTAGTTGTTTTTTTTTATATTGTACGTGAGTTCGTCAAAAAAAAATTCAGGCCAAAAAAAAGCCAAAAAAAAATCGGCAAAAGAAAAAGCCAAAAAAAAAAAAATTCGGCAAAAAAAAAATCGGCCAAAAAAAAAAAAAGTTTCGGCCAAAAAAAAATTCAAGAGGACGACTCGTTTGTTTTTATCATTGATAGTTGGACCGAATAGAAAAAAAAATTTCATAGCGAAATTGAATCGAATCCGAATTTAGCGAAAATTTGCTTGAATTCTTGAGTTGAGCGGTATATTCTTGAATTTGATCTTGCTTGGTGGTTTATCGATTGTTGTGAGGAGCTTGTGAGACTGGATTCAAGTCTGAAAAAAGAGCTTGCTAGAAAGAAACGAGAGGTAAAAGGCAAGAGTGTGTGAGTCTAATTGAGGGAAGAAAAAGCCGAAATGAGTTAAACACAAGAGGAGTGACAAGCACTTTGAGCGGAAAACGTGAGGGAGTGACTAGTGAGATTTCTTTTATCTCTAACATTTTCTTGCAGGTTTAAAAAAAAAATGTCGGGCTCAGGCCAGGAAGTGTGAATCAAGGGAGGATCGCACTCATCCAAGGGATGATGCGATTTTAGCGGCATCCAGCAAATTGAGTTTACAAATTGAAGCACTTAGCAACCGAGTTGCAAGATGTGAGACAAGACTTGAAGATGACCAAGAGCCACCACGAGGGAGGCCACAAAATCGGCGAGAGGAGCTGAGGGCACGAGCCCTAGATGGCAACGGCAATTTGATGATGCATATGTGTCCGATCTGAGAAGATGATCGAGATGGCAAGTTTGAGAGGAGAAACGGACGCCGAGGATTTAGACGTCGAGAAGATGATGACCTTGGCAACATCAAGATGAAGATTCCATCTTTTCAAGGAAAGAATGATCCCGATGCGTATCTAGAATGGGAGAAACGGATGGAGATGGTATTTGATTGCCGCGATATTCGGAACTCAAAAGGTAAAAATTGCACTTGTTGAATTCACCGATTATGCTATAATTTGGTGGGATCAACTTATGACTAACGGGAGACGCAATGGTGAAAGACCAATAGAAACGTGGGATGAGATGAAAGCGGTGATGAGGAGGCGCTTTATACCTAGTCATTACCACGAGACTTGTTCCATAAGCTGCAAAATCTCACACAAGGCAATAGGAGTGTGGAAGAATACCATAAAGAGATGGAGCTTGCTATGATCCGCGCTAATGTGGTGGAAGACCGTGAGGCCACAATGTCACGATTTTTGTGTGGTTTGAGCCGAGATATGTGCGAGAGGCACATAGTGGTGGTTTAATGGGGCATTTTGGAATCAATAAGACTTATGAAGTCTTGCATGAACATTTTTTGGCCACACATGAAACGAGATGTCACACGAGTTTGTGAGAGATGTATCGCATGTAGCTGGCTAAGTCTACGATTAAACCACATGGTTTGTATACACCTTTGCCTATCCCGACGCATCCTTGGGTTGATATCTCTATGGATTTTGTGTTAGGATTGCCTAGGTCTAAGCATGGCAAGGATTCTATTTTTGTGGTTGTTGATCGATTTTCAAAGATGGCTCATTTTATACCTTGTCATAAATCGATGATGCATCGAATGTTGCTGAATTGTTCTTTCGTGAGGTTGTGCGTTTGCATGGCATGCCTAGGTCCATTGTTTCGATCGAGATACTAAATTTCTAAGCTACTTTTGGAAGACATTGTGGAAGAAGTTAGGTACACAACTTTTATTCTCTACTACTTGTCATCCACAAACCGATGGTCAAACCGAAGTAGTTAATAGGACTTTAGGGACATTATTACGTGCTATCATTAAAAAGAACATTAAGTCTTGGGAAGATTGTTTACCGCATGTTGAGTTTGCTTATAATAGGAGCCAAATTTGGATGGACGCTTGGAAACGGGCCGCTGATCAATACTCACTACTTTAGTAGTGATTGATGACGTTTTTAGTGATTTGGAGTCGTTTAGATGAACTTTTAGGCCTTTTTCCATTTTTGGACAAATTTTAGCAATTAAGGTTATTTTTGTAATTTTAATCCTAGTAGGATTAGGATTAGGGTTAGCACCCTATATAAGGTTGCTTATAGATTTCTAAGAGGAGAGACATAATTTTATAGAGAGAAGTTTTCTTCTTGAGTTCTTTTGAGGACTAGATCTTATCAGGCTCCTTTGGCGATCGAATTAAACTTATCGAAGAAGATCGCGAATTCTCTTGTTCGTGGCGTTATAGCGTGGATTGGTTGACACGGGTTCGTCAACAGGTCGCGTTCATACCGATATTACCAATCACAGGTTCGATTGGGGGTTGAGGTCAACAATTCGTAACTCATAGATCTTCGTAGAACGATCATCTTCCGCTTGATTCATATCACTTGTGCATCTTCTCAATAGCATCTGATCTTTCTTGATGTGATCCCTGTCCAACATGTTTGAAGATGCCGTTTTTTGTCTCCGCCCCCTTGACTCTTTTGACTCCACAACTGCAAGGGGAAATAGGCACTCCTAGTTCATCCAGCTGACCATTCATTTCCTTGATTTCTACATTTCCTTCAAAAACATTAGCTTCATCTAGCTTCTCTTCACAGGATCTTTGGACAGTGTGCACTATTTCATCGCAAGAAGTATAGGCCACGCATATCAAAAGGACAGTCTTATTGTTGCTTGCAGTAGCCTTCATGGCCTTCTCTGCTGCAATCTGAACATTCTCATTTAAAAGTTTCAAGTTCCCTATGAAGTGCATCCTTATGCCATATCGATCAAGAACACTTCCTGTCTTGAGCAATTCCTCAATTTTTTCCACCATTAAATCCATCGGACATTGGACCTCATTAGGCCGTCTCTTAAAATTGTCGATGCTGAAGGCATAGACTGTTACATACCTTATTCCCAAATCATAGCAGTAACCAAGAATAGTCATGAGAGATGAAAATCCGGCCCTGTGGCCGTCCCCTTCGACTAGGTTTCGCCTCTTAGCATATCTCCTGTTTCCATCCATGATGAAGGCGACGTAACTGGGGATGGGGCCCACAGACAGGGCTCTGAATAAGCACTTTCTCAGAAAACCACACATAGTTTCCATGATTCTACTGCTACTGCTGCTTTCTTGCTGCATTGTATGTTCCACAAGCAAATTCAGCCAAATAGTGCAAACATGACCTGCAAAAGACGAATTCATGCTCAGACACTGCGAAGTGTAATGTCCAGGTGTTAAATCAAGAAGAGAGTGGCTAATGTTCCAAGGGAATTGGAGTCAAAAGAGAACGGTTTGGTGAGAACAATACAATACAGAAGGAAGCTGAGTAACCGCACAATGCAAAGCCAACATGAACAACTGATGTGTGTCCGTACTAGGAAAGAAATCCCAATGAGGCAGAATGCTTTCATTATGTCTTCCTTTAGCTATAATCGGCATGTTGTTTTTCACTTGATTTCTCTAGAAAAAAGAGAGCATATTTTGTGCACTAATGTGGTTCCAATTGCAACAGAGTTTTACTAAGCAATAGCAACCTCTCATGATCATTCCAGCGATTGCTTAAAATGCAACCATAAATGTTATATCGCTAGACGAACTGTTCTCCACATCTTGAAACAAAAAGCATTTTATCGATGGACCACTACATGCATTTTACACCCCATGCTCGTCTAGGAAAGGAAAGCGTCAGCTTTCTAGTAGCACAGAGACGACAGCACCCAAAATTAAGCTGTCGATTAGCATTAACTGAATGAAAACCGGAGGAGAAGGTACAGCCGAACTCCACCACTTGGTTGCTAAATTTTAATAAAACATGAAAGTTAACCATTTTTCCCGGTACCCATCTGCAATGACCATATTTGCAATCCAAACCCAATTTACCTCCCCAAACTTGCATTTTGCTGACTAGCTCGCCCTCTTCAAATTGATAGGGGATGATCATGAGTTAGGGGCTTATGAATCTTTCAGATTAGAGGAAATTACCTATTGATTCAGAAAGTTACCACCATACACACAGGAAGTAGAAATCTGGAAGAACAACTCTTGAAAAAGAACAGAGCCAAATGAAACTTTTAATGTGATTCTTTGTTCAACAAAGAAATCATCACAAATTTTCGACAAGAGCAATGCAAACTATTCGTTGACTAATGGTCACTCAACATTGTTAACTTCATCACCAACTCGAACATATACGTTTTTTTTAGATGGCAGTATCAAACTCAAGCCATGTAAAGGCAGAAAATGCGAAGAAAAATCTCAAGATGGCAGCACCAGGTTCGAGCATCATCGGCCTGAATGCAAGCAATTTACTCGTTTTGCACCAGAATTTGACAAGGCTAAAATGAAAAGGGAATTGAAAAGGGAGATTCAAATGGAGCCACTGACGAAAAAAAAACACCAGCAATCAAAAATGGAGAAGCATAAAGCAACTAACTCCGAACTCAAAGCATTTCAGAAAAATGCACATGAACATAATAAAAACTCGACAACAGAACATTGTTATATGACCGAGAAAGAGGACAAAAACAGTGAGCTTTGTCGCTTACCCCATGGTTTTGCGCGAGGAATCTCGTGAAACTTGTGGCTGATTTGCTTCCGTGACTCTGTGGTAGACTGTTCTTCAAAAAACTGGAAACTACCGGCCCCCAAAACTTGTAAAAAATTGAAAAGGGCCTGAACTTTCCAGTGGCATTGGATTTGTGAGGCCGTTGTTCATCCCTCTTAGACAGGTGTTACGAAAGCATGGACATGGGGTCACCTTTCACGCATGAGCGAGACACCCATCTTAACTCACCCTCTCAATGTGTAAATAATATCTGTTCAATTCTATGAATGATAGTGTTAGTAAACGAGCGATCAGAATGAAACAAATCCACTAAAATTTGCCAAAAAAGAAGACAGATACGCGCAGATGGCAACCAGCGATTGCCGAGCGAGTCCGAGAATAGATTTTCAAATCGAGAAGAGAGTTTACGTGACGTTACCCCTTCGTTTGTTCCGGTCCAAACTCTCGTTTCCGCTTTTGGTTTCTGCTTTTGTTCTTGTTCATCTTTAGGACTTATGCATTTGATTGGATATGATATGAAAAATAGAAAATAAACGAATAAACCGAGAAATCGCCAAATTTTTATTGTTGAGATAGGGAAAACTTTGCAAGTGTGACATGTATAAAAGTATAATCCTCCCTACAAAAGTGACAGGTTCCATTAAATTTGCCGATGTACATACATATTAGTACATGTGTCACATTTACCTAAGTTGTGTTCGCAACCCGGTCTACCTAAATCCATTCATTTGTAACTTTGTATGGACGGAAGTGAAGGAAAAAGAGAGAAAATTAAGACTCCGTTTATTTCGTAAAAGGGAAAACATTTCCTCGTTTTTCAGCATTTAGTTCGATTAAGAAAACGAGTCAACGGAAAAATTATACTTTAATTTAGGAAAATGATTTCCTCTTTGAAAAATCGAAAAACATTTTCCAAAATATGACTAGATATCGACGGTTGGATCCGAAATTCTACGCTTTGACATGGGAACCCCAATCTGGTTCCGAATCCTAACGTTCAGGACCAGGTCTCCAGCGTCCGGGCACAAATCCATTGAGGCCTAGGCCAAGCCGCCGACACCCACCACTCGGGTCCATCAAGGTCAAGCCTAAAGCCATAAAGTTTGTGCCTAATGCACAGCACCCAAGCCCAGGTCCATAAAGGCAGTGTTTGGGTCCTCGACGCTTGAGCTTAGGTCCCTGGCACTCAAGCACGGGTCCACAAAAGCCATGCGCAATTCTCGGCGCTTGGGCTTGGGTTTTTAGTAATGAAACTTCATTCTTCTAAAATATTTTTAAAAAAATATTTTCTTTTTTCTCTTTATTTTCCTTTCTTTCTTTTATTTTTTCCTTCTTCCTCGGCCGGTGGCCGGTGACGGCCAACAACCAGCCCCAGGCGAGGGACAAGCTCGCCAATCCTCAGGCAAGCTCGGCCTGCTGGAATCTAGCAAGATCGAGCCTCGCTGGCCTTGGGTGAGCTCGTCCCTCACATGTGGCCATGGCCGAGGAAGAAGGAAAAAGAAAAAAAATTCAAATAATTAAAAATTCAAATTTTTTTGATAATTTTTCCAGGAAAATCAAAGCAGATTTTTCATACCAAACGGCGGAAAATATTTTCTAGTTCATTTTCAGGTTTCAGCCAAACACCGAAAAATATTGTCATTTTCCCATATATCACATTTTTCGCGAAACAAACGGAGCTTAAAGAAAAAATTATTTCTTATGCATAGGTTGTATTTGATCCATGGGCAAACTCTAGTATGGTCTATGCAAAAATTATAGGTCCGGCGGTTAGGCTTTTAAGCGATCTCGCCCAAGCTAACTTACAACTAAAAACTTAGACTATTCAAGAAATCAATTGCGCCCGTTGACCAAGAGACATTCTCCGGTGCACGTGAACTCAGTGGATCGGATCCCAGCCTTTAAATTAGGAAAAATGACACAAACAGTCCCTGAATTTTGGCCCAATATGCAATTTGGTCCTTGAACTTTTAATTTATTCAATGTAGTCCCTGAACTTTAACCAAATGTGCAATGTGATCCCTGAACTTTAATTTGTTCAAAGTCATCCCTGAACTTTTGATACATATTCAATTCAGTCCCTGAATTATATGAAAATGTTCAATATAATCCTTTCGATTAATTTAAGTTCAGGGACTCCGTTGAACATTTTGATATAATTCAAGGACTGAATTGAACATGTACCAAAAGTTCAGGGATGACATTGAACAAAATAAAAGTTCAGGGATCACATTGAGCATTAACCTAAAGTTCAGGGACTATATTGAACAAATTAAAAGTTTAGAAACCAAATTGCACGTTAGGTCAAAGTTAAGGAACTGTTTGTGTTATTATCCCTTTAAATTATGTGGCGCGCACATGGAACTCACCAACATTGAAGACTATGATCATTAGTATTAAGCAACAAGCTTAGCAAAGGCATATGCACAACACGAGTAAGTTTTGATCTTAAAACAATTCGATGGTCGATTTCAAGATCTCCATAAAGAGTAACCAGCATTTTCTTCTTGTGGGTGTGGAATCACGTTGCTCTTTCAAATGGTCTCGTATGCACTAATCCATGCACCAATAGGCCATTTGATTTCGTGACCTAATTACGGTAGACAACTAGAGAAAGCCATCCCTCATTCTCAGGTTCTAATCCCGTGGTTTTTGGCAAGCTAATCAGGGATTGAAGAGCATGTTACCGGTATTTATGAATTTTGGTGGGAATACCGCTTTAAAAATTTAGAGATTATTACGAACGGAGGAAAGTGAAAAATTTAAGAGTTTTCCATCGAATCCTACAAATCTTTCTATAGTTAATTTTAGGGCGTGTTTGCTTAACAAAAAAAGAATGATTAAGAAAAAAAAATTTATATAGTCATTTGTATCGCTTGAAAAATGAATGAACAAAAAACTTTTTCATCGTCCACAAAAATATTTAGATATAAATTGTTGTTGATAATGAAAACATCTTTCATTGACTAATAACTTCAAGTCATACAAGTGGTTATTTTCAGGAAAATATTTTCTGAATAATTCATTTTTCGCGAAACAATTGAAGCCTGTAAATGAGTTTTAAATCACTCACATAATGGATAATGTAGTTTTTCCTTTCTTTTCCTTCCTAACCACTCTTGGCCAACAAATTGCATCAATTTTTCCTAGTGATTAGCAGAATCTTTCTCTCAAGCTCCTAGATCGCTTCAGGCGGAGGTATTGAAGACTTATATGCTAGCTATTCAAATAAAAGTCGGTTTATCAGTGGTAATGAAAGGATATGTAAAGAAAAAAATCTCAACTAGCAAAAACCATTCAAAAGTTAAGAGGTCATTTTATTGCATTTATTTTTCTCCTTTTGTAAATAATAAAATCATTTAACTTGTTTTTATTTTATCTAATTTGTTATGCATGATGATAAATGTTTATTTAACACCATTTTCACCGTACACCATTTGTCTTATATAACTATTAGTAATAATTTTTATATTTTACTGTGCCACAATATTTTTCACTCATAAAGTATAACACTCATGGTTTCTCATCTTCGCTTAATTTCCAACAATAAGAATAATAACTTAATCTAATATAGTTTGTTCAAATTAAT